TGCTGGCCACCCCATTGCTGACACAGGCCAGGATGCCATTGGCCTTCTTGCCCACCTGGGCACACTGCCGGCTCATGTTCAGCCGGCTGCCGACCAGCACCCCCAGGTCCTTTTCTGTCGGGCAGCTTTCCAGCCACTCATCCCCAAGCCTGTAACATTGGGTGGGGTTGTTGTGACCGAAGTGCAGGACCCGGCACTTGGCCTTGTTAAACCTCATAGCATTGGCCTCAGCCCATTGATCCAGCCTGTCCAGATCCCTCTGCAGAGACTTCCTACCCTCAAGCAGATCAACACTCCCACCCAATTTAGTGTCATTGGACTCTTCTAGATCAAGGAGGAATTCTGGCCCTACCTTTTCCCCACCTTACCATTGTAAGTGCTGCCTTCTCCAGTATGCCTTGCACTGTGAGTTGTGGCTTAAAGCCTTGTTCTGTCCTGTGTCTTACTAAACATCACTGAGTCAGCTGTGGTTTGTTAAACTGCCTCTTGAGCAGTACATGGAGGTTAATCAGTAGAGGCATGGACCTGTCTCAGCTACCTCTGTCACATCACGGTTTACTGGATGAAAGATACAGTTCCACCTTGTATATGGGGAACATAAACCCATTTTTGGTGAGGTTAACATGTCTAGGTTAACAGGAAAAGAGTTGACACCTCCTTCTTCTCTGCCATGGTGGAAACTCAGGTACTTTCTTGCTGAATGCAGTAACCTAAACCTGGCCTGACAGATGAGTGGGCATGCTCATTCATAGCCCAATGGAAGAGGCAAATATATGTGTATGACCATGATGGGCAGGAGACAGGATGGTCTCACTCAAACAAAGGCCGTGCCCTCACTTAAAATTATTGCCACAAAGGACAAATAAGATCCATGCTGTGGAAAGACAAATGGCCCGAACTCAACTAGAAAGCATAGTTTTGTTGACTGAACTTACCAGGCTCCTTGAATTCCTTAAAGGTGTCATTTACCAGGGGGAAATGGATTACTATGGGTGCTCTGAGGTCCTCCGCATCTGAAAACACGTAACATTCCTTTGGGTTCTTCTCTTCTTCTTTACTTAGCTCCACTTTGGGGAATGGGATTTTTTGTATCTTGCAATATTTGTATGTCATCTGTAATTGCTTTGGACACAGAATGTTATAGTCTTAAAGCTAACACCAAGACAAGAATCAGGTTTACTGAGGTATCATAGAAATACTATGGCAACATAATTCAGTCCCTAGAATCACTCCGCAATGAATGTGTAGTCCAAAGTAGCCACAGTATAACCCTACTTTCTGCCACCATTCACCGTAAGTCAGAAGATGCTTGTTATCACCCTACAATGTTTTTTACAGCTAGAGGGAGTGACCGAAAGCCACACTTAGAATTTGTCATGAGGACAGACCAGGAGAGGTCAAGGTCATGTCTCCAATAACCAATTGTTACTGCAATTCCCTGAGGATCCTAGGAAGTGTATGCTGCAATCCACTACAGAGAAGAAAGCCTAACAGTTTTTATAGTTCTGGTCTTGAAGGAAGTTTCTTTCCTCCTCCAGGGTATGGTGACTGGTTTGCTCTTGGGTATAACAAGATATGGGAGAAGTAGAGCATTAGATCTAGACTCTTGAGGAGATCAAGACTTAAGACAGTCACTTAGTTAAAAGTTTTAGTAACACAAGAAGAGTTTTACCAGGGCTGCAAGGAGTAAAGCATGTTAATCTTCTCACCTTGAATACATCCCCCAAACCATAATCAAGTGAGATAATGACATCTACATTCCTCTCTGGCTTGAAAAGTGCTGCACTACTGGTGTTGATGAAATAGCCAACATCTATGAGGCAAAGGTATTTCTGCAGTGGTGTCAGATTGTTAGGGAAAGCGTCCAGCACAGTGTCTGAAAAACATTTTGAATATAGTTAGTGGTGTATGATAGGAAATGAGGAGTCAGTAATTCTGTCTGTACTACATGTTAAGGACAGCCCCTTGGTTGCCCTCAAGACCAGGCTCACCTCCCTCCATAACATGAGCCCACAAACATGGCCTCAGGAGCACACCCTCCAAACTGCACGTCTGGGCACATCTGGCCTGTTACCACACTCCCCCAGGCACACTCATAAAGCCTGGCCATTAGGCAGCCACGCAGGTGAGACACAGACTCCACTGGCCTCGCAGCTGCTCTGGGGAGTGATTTTTCACAGAATACAGACTTTAGTCGATTTTTTTTCCCCCTAAGAACTGGGAAAAATGCAAACAACAAAAACAGTTTCACAGTGTAGCAACAAATCTAACAAAATGCAGTACATCACTGCACTTCTGCACTGCTCTTTTTTTGCTTTCGCATTCTCCAGACTAGACTCCTCTCCCAAGATAAAAAATCTGACTCCAACCTGCTTTCAGTGATCTCATATAAATTATCTTAGCCATGCTGCAAAAAAATACCACATCATGCACACGGCATCCCCTACCAACAGCTTAAAATATTGTTTGAATTAATTAAACCTCACAGTAATGTCAAAAGGGGATTATACCAACAGGCAAATTGAGATCTAAAGCCAGTTTCTGATAGCTAGACTCTAATTTCTCTGCTAGCAACCACACCAGCCTGCCCTTTAGACAGTAAGTCCACTATTGTTCCCCTGGTACCATTCCTAGTCCCATGGAATAAGAAACATTTTGCCATGGTTTTAAATATCAAAATAGTGGTTTAAGAGTGTTCCTCAAGTTCACAAAATGAGGTAGCAAAGCCCAGAGCAGACTCCTTGAGCCTTAAATAATTTGTGCTTAGGTATTTTAAGAAACTGTGGATCACAGAAATACTGCAGGTAAGTTCCAGCACTTCATGTCTTTCAATCTCTCTGCCTCCTTGGCCTGATCCTGTAGTGTTGATTTAAACCATACAGAATAACTCTAGCTTGTTCCATAGCCTGGAATGTTTGACAGCAGCTTGAAGTAATAACTCATATTTTTTCCATTCCCTCACTGTCAGGTCTTTACAAAATTATTTGCTTATTTTAGCATTCATGGCTGCTGGGAATTCACAGGTTCTGCTGTAATGAGAGACATTCGCTTGCAGTCCCTCACAGAAGAAACAGAGCATACTTTTTATTTGGCTTGGTGAATCTTTCTAGCTGAAATTCCATTACCCCCATTTTCTTGTCACAGAGATGGAACTGTGCAGCATTTATTCATGGCTGGATACATAAATCAGAAGTAAGCATTTCCTTGGGAGATTCTCTCCTTCCATCCCACACCCAAAAAGGAACTTTAAAGAAGTCCTGCCTCACTAATTCCCTTGAAAGCATGAACCTTACTGTAAAAGCATTACACTAATTCCAGGCTATGAGTTCTCAAATTTCTGACCGTGAAAATGAGGCTATGGCATTTAAAGTCTCATTTTAATGTGTCAGATAACCTGAGCTGCAGAGAAGACTTTAAAAGAAAGCTATATTCTGGGTACTTCAGCTACCATGAGGCTATCATTTCTGCTCACAGAGTTGGCATCTCCTCTTGCTCCTAGAGATGGACCCATACCTGATTTTAACTTGGTCTCATGCAGTCATCCCAAAGAAGATACAAAATCTGCTGATTTTTCCTACTCTAGACTTTCAGTTTCTTTTCCCACTCCAGACTTCATGCTTTCCACTTACTTTACTTTATTTACAGAATATCTACCCTGAGGTAGTCTTTAGCATCCCTCTATGCTCTCTTCTTCCAAATCCTCCTTGAAATCTGCTCCTACCCATTTGCCTTTACAAAATTGCTTCAGTAAATGAAAGGAAAATGAGGGGTTTTTAACATTTACTGACTGACAATTTTATCCTCCATCCACCTTCTTAAGATATTTGCTTGCTCCTTCTCTCACCCACCCTTCTTACACTACTTGTTTTCTCCTTCTCTCACTTGTTTTCTTAGAGCAGGCTCTTTTAGCACATGGACTTTTTGCCTGCTGAAAACATTTAGAAAACACTTAGCACACTGTGGTGCCTGCCTTAATCCACAAAAAAACTCCACCATCTCTTACTATTGTCAGCAAACCACATAGCAATAGCAGCCAGGGACAAAATGTGTTGTAGCTTGCATGAAACAGGGGAGAGAAAAGACAATGTGCCAAAGAGAAGGGCCCAGAGAAGGCAGAGAACATGTGTTTTCTTGCTGAAGCTAGATGGACCTTAATAATGTGGGGTCCTCCCACACCTACTTGCTCATGGAATAAATGAGGACACTGGGATTACAGGAAGGCTTGTGATGCACAAAACCTCAGCACAATCACCTTGCTACTGTCTCACAGATTGTTTCATAGATTTTGAGGTAAAACTATTATGATTGTTTACTTCTCCTGCCTGCAGAGCACAGCCACAGAAAATTGCTGTTCAATTTACACATCAAGTCTACATATTCTGTTTGTTTAACGTATACAGCCTAAATCTATGTGGCTTTAACTTTCTGTTGTTGGATCTTTGTGGTTGCAGCCAATCCTTTCCTTCATCTGATCCACATAATAACCTGCCATTTTATGCTTCTGGTGTTACCTTTGTTTCTTGACCTCGAAAGATTCTACCCTTTCTGAATCTTTTGACTTCTGTACCTATGCAGAGTGACAAAATTCCTGTAGAAGAGCATGCTTTGACACAAATTACATGTATCTTCAGGAGGTGAAAAGGTGGCCATGGACTAGTTCATTTCAACCTATTACCCTAAAGAAACAGGCACCATGAACATAGTTCCATCTCAGCAGATTTCCAAACCCTGAGAAAATATCTCTAAACGTGAGATTTCCAAAGACTAAAAAAAAAAAAAAATCTGAGATGTTACCTGCACACTGCAGCTAACTCTTTGTTGCAGTTACCTTTCCATTCAACAAATTTTTTCTGATGTATATAATCCTTATGAAATTCTAAGCCTCTCAGGAAGTTATGAGACTTTCCCAGTAGTGGACGCTTGGTCATAATGTCCTGAAAAATTTCATACAACTTCCCTGACAAACAAGACGGAGGCTCGATGGTACTGACATCATCCTCAGGGGAACGTTTTTCTGAAATAGAAAAGAAACTGTGAGAAAATACATCAGCAATCTGTTATGCCGGGCACCTTTACTGGCTAGCTGCCCTTGCTGTCTTCCTGTGAGTCCCCCCGCTCCCTGTTTCTTGCAGTCTGCTTGAAAACATATGCACATGACCAAACCCATTTAAACAAAGAGATACTTCGTTTTGTTTAAAGCAAGCACAGCTTTTGTCTTTTACTCTTTCAAATGACACACTGGCTTTGTACTTTTGCCTACAAGTAAAAGCCACCCTTCTCTAACCCATTTGCGGTTGTGGAGGAGTCATGAGCAAATTTTAAATGAAAAACATTTGTAACCAGCATGAAGTGTGCCTCTGGGTTAAAATTACAAAATAAAATAAAATAAAATAAAATAAAATAAAATACAGTATCACATAGTGATCATTCTGATACAGGTGAAAATCATGCTGGAAGATCCACAGTGAGACAACACAATGTGCAGCAGTTTAGGTATAACATATGAAAGATTATTCACAAACAGTAGCAATAGTGTATCTTTCTTAATCTTCTCCTGAATAGGAAGCACTGTCTCGTCCAAAACAAACACTGATTTTGAAACTCTTACCTATATCTACCATATCTTTGGCCCATCGTTCCCAGAATTCATTTGAATTTGAGGACCAGTACAAGCCATCCAGCAAATTCCTAGTAAAGATGTTTGTCCAAAGACCTGCAAGTCAAATCACATGGGAAAAATATTGCATCACCACAGGTTGACCACTGACTGTTACACTACATACTATTGGCCCACGTGAACTGACCCTGTCATGACACAGCTTAAGCAGTAGGTCTCATGGAGTTCAAACATAATGCTCTCCAATGCTCTTTCTCGAGAGATAACTACACACATACCATTCACTGTACAGTACAGAGTAACAAAATAAGAGGTATCAGTCACCCAAATGACATTTTAGAGTGTTTACTGTGTACTTGTGAAAGAAAGCAGGCTTTGAAAGCATAGTGAAACCATATTAGCATAAGGCCCTTCTTTAAACCGATTTATTCTTTAAACTGATCTAAGACCCATTATTTCCTTTCAGACATGTTTTGTTTCTGTGGAGTTAACCAGTCCAGGATCAAAACAGAATTGTCTCCATGTGTGAGCCTGCTTTTGGAAAAGAAAGAACTATCATTTGTCATTAAGCCCCATGCCAGGTACTCACACAAGGAACAAATTCAATCCCTAGCAGACTTCAAACTGAAAGAAATACAATTTTTGTCTCCACTGGATCCTTGGTTTTGGTTTCAAAAGCTGAAATTCTGACAAGGATTTAAAATCTGCCTGGGGCAGATGGATTCCTCTGACCATCTGCTTTTCCCCCTTTCTTCTCCTTTAGAGGCAGAACATCCAGTCAAAGCAGTGGTTGGAGGTTAAAAGGGCTTCCTTCATCCTTATGGGCATGGAAGATTAGTGACACCATTCTCAACCCACAAAGCTCAGACGGTTCTCACCTTTGTGGGTTGTTCTATATCAGTTATATTTTATTTTCAGCTCCTTCCAATTCTTCCCCAGCAACATGTTGTCTAGAAATATAGTTGATGAAGTTGAAGAGTTGATGAAGTTGAAGAGTTGATGACTGATCAGGGAAGAAAGGCTTATCATTTCCTCAACTTACCTTCTCCACCTTCTTATTTGGTTCAGAAAATGGGAAGGGGAACCATGCTGCTATTTTCCCAAATTTGGCCAGGTTAAAAGGGAGGACAGAAGGAAAGAAGCTTTACAAGAGCAGAAGTGTACAAAAGGGGTGAAAAGCCCATTGAATCAAGACCTAGAGCAGACCTGCTGGCAAGGAATGTTTTACACAGACCAGTGGCTAGCTAGTACCATGTTTTCTACCATGTTGTGATTAACTATATTGCACTGCTAGGTCACCTTCCAAATAGCAGATCCGAGATTCTGGCAGCTTCTTCACTCGCCTTCCCATGAAGAACTCACTGTCAAAATATTCTGAACGAATGGAGGCTCCATATTTTGGTATGGCCACCTCGTAAGGAGAGAACTCGGCCCACTCTACAAAAGAATTAACACATGGCATGTTTACTGTAATAAAAATAAGAAAACAAAATGTTGCCTTGTGGATAAAGCTATCCACAAGCTCCACAGCACTCACTTGTCTCAGCAGCTCTTTACTATCAGTAGCTTTGTATTGCAAACTACACTGTCTAGTTCCATACAAACTGAGAGACGATTTGCATACAAAAGGAACTAGCTTTTTCACCTCAGAAGGAGTCTAATGTTAGCTTCAAAAGCTTAGATATATATTTCTATATAAAGATTCTGGGATCCTGCTTGCCTCCCTAAATCAAGAGCATCAAATCTACAATATACGAGTGTGATCCAACCTGTAAAGAATGACTGGCATGAAACCTCTACTAACCCAAACCTGTCGGTCTACACGATATAACAAGGCAGCCTGAAGACATAACAGCTCCATACTAGAAAGCATCATAGTGTGGACATGGCCATGCAGTTTCCTGACTCAGGCTGTCCTGTACAGATATTGCATAGAACAGTAGCTATAAACCTAACCAAACGTAAGTACTAACTGTTTTTTCCTTCCAGATGCTCATTTTAATACCTTTTGTTGAATGTAGCCTAGACTGTGTCCATTGAAAGGCTGTTATATCACACACATCTAGCAATATACTCCACTCCATTTTCACACCTTTATCAGTGTAGTATTTAGGGAAGTGACAATTACATTTCACAGCACCTCTACAAACTAAGGAACCATCAAAGCCATTTTACAGGTGTGGAACTGAGGCAGAAAAAGATCACGTGATTTGCCCACACACACTCACAATGTCTGCGGCAAAATCTGGGCACTTCAGCCCAGATCTTCAGAAATGCCCTCTTTGTGCTTGAGGGTGTTATCCAGCAGATCTGCTCTTTCTAATCAACACCCAGCAGTTTGCAAAAAAGACAAACATTTTATTAAAAGATGAATACTGAGTCAGGGCAAGCAACAGATGCATTCCCCTTTTATTCTCCACGCGCACCCTCCCTCCAAATTCTCTTTAGTCCCTACTCAGAGTCATAAGAAACTCTAGGAGGACTTACCTCTAAATTTGAAAGTACTGAACTTTTCCTCTTTCACGTTGAGGACTGCATAGAAAGGCAATGGATTTTGTCCATGCTCCAATGCCTTGCGCTGGTCTGTGAGTTTGTACTTTCTTGGCTAACCAGAGACAAAAAAAATCACAATAAACCTCTGCAAGACCATAAGGCAAAAACACTGATACAATCTACCTGAGTACGGATAGATAATGAATGTCTTTCAACCCAGAGGAATCTGTGAGTCACATTTTTATGAGACCTCTTCCTTCATGTTCCTGCACTTTCCTTCCTGGTTGCCTTTTTGTTACCTAGTAACCTCTTCATTAATATCCAAGTGTTCCCTGCATCCCACAGATCTTTACTGAGGCTGAGACCAATGTTCACACGAGGACAGATTACTTTAGCTCTCAAGTGTCCAACAAGAAACAGACTTTAAAAGACCTGACTTTTCAGGGTGGATTGCTCAGTTCTTTCTGAAAATTTGCCTACTGAAGTCACTAGCTGTTGGGCAACTTAGTATGGAGGCACCATTAGCTATCCTGGAAAACCCTGGCTACAAGATCTTCTGTCATTGTTTACAAACCACACTAGGATGCCTCAGTGACTTTGGATTTTTTCCACACATTACATCATGCCCTCCAAGAGTAAAGTTCTAAAGAAAATAAATGGATGTTTCCCAAATGCGTGGCAAAGCCATGTACATACCCGTTCGTGTAAGAACATTTCCTGGACAAGAGACCACAGAGTTGTAAAAGATGACACATGTCCTGCTTTTGCCCTTTCAGTGAGTTCCTTGTGATAATACTTCAGAAGCTCTATAGACATAAGGTTGAGCTTGCATTTTGTCACTTGCTCTTTTACTGTCTTAAGTGGCCCCTCCAGAGATTTCTGTGACCAGTCGGCATGCTCATACAGGTCTGCTAGGGTCCTAAAGAACAGAAATGTGAGAAAATCATCCATTTATTTGGATGGGTTTGGAAAATGACTGTATTTACCCAACGACTTCCGTCAAAGAAGAGAATGAGCAAGCCTAAACTGAAGTTACAATCGACGGCCAACAATACTATCTTTACCAGGGAATTGTGTTCGCTTGTTAACAACATAAGACTTTGAAAAAGATGCATCTCTCTCACTGCGTGGAAATGTAGCATCAGAGTCATTCCAAATAGAAATCTCATTTTCTATACACACCATGTCGAGCCAGAAGCTCCGGTGAGATAGGTAACACAGTCCAACAGATTTAGCTTCTGAAGAGCTAAGAGGTGTCCGAACATAGCTGACATTGCTCTGAGGCCTCCACCTGTTGCCATAACAGCTATTACCGGAACCTGTTCAAAACATAAGTATTATCTTCAAAAAAAGTTACTCACTTGCCTGCTTGGAAAAGTCTAATTACAATTCTTATCATTTCCTCAGGAGACTTCACTGGAGGACAATGAAATTAAACCAACTTTCAGCCAGACTTTACCAGTACCTTCTTTAAATTAACCTCTAGATATCAGTGGGTTCTCTTAACCCCAAAGCTTGGATGAGTTTGAAAATGCAGTGATTTTAACTTTCCTTCTTCCCCTTGCTCTTTATAATTGGAATTGCAGGTAATGATATGATTTTATTATAAATAGCAAAAATTGCAATAAATGTAGTTAAGAATGGATTCAAGGAAGTCCTGAACAGGGTTCAGAAAAAATACATTAAGCAAAAAAATGATTCTTTGGACAGCATCCATTCAACAAATATAATTCCAGCAAGAAAAATAAATGTTCACTTAAAAATTCACCCTGGATCCTGGCAACAAAACATGCTTCAGCTGGACCTTGTTATAAAATATTCTTTCTCCACTCTAAGGAATTTCAATTTCTTGTGTGAAAAGTGTTCTGAAAATTAAAAAAATCAGTAAGTCTAAAGAAGGGACATTACAATGATTTCATTAATATCTATGTGAGATGAACTTCCAACACTCCTGTTTTCCTACTTGGTTTGGGTTGCCTGGCTAGGCTGTGTCTAACACAATGTACCAATGCCTCATATCTTGCTGACCCACTGCATCACGCTGTTGGAAACTCTGGCTTTGAAGAGTGGTATATTATGTCCTTGGGAATTTGACCCATTGAAAAGAATGGAGGCCTGAATAGCTGAGCTGAAATTTTAGATGAGTAGGGGGTATGCCACACTGACAACTTCTGTTCTGCTGCCATTCAAATCCATGTGTTTGTTTGTCATCAGCATGCAAAAACTACTAGAAATTTTGTGGGGTTTGTGCCAACCCTAATTCAATAGACCCACACCCCAGGCTTGGATTCCAACTCACAGACCTCCTGTCCATGTAGATCTCTTTCCAGATGAAGAACCTTTTTCAAGGCATTGGCAACCACTCTCTTCCTTTTTTGCAAGAATTCCTGCTCTTCTTGGCACAGATCATACCCTAAGCGCACATCTAGCTTTTCTGTGCTGAAACATAAATAAATCCAGATACACAGGACTGGTGTTTAAAAAGGATATGGACCTGTTTTCAGCAACTGCAGTCTACTAAATATCATATAAAATCTTGATTCACTGTTCAGATTTAGAGACAGAAATGCAGCTTCCAGTTTCAAAGAAATCAAATGCTTTGCTTCTACACGGTTGCTTTATTTTCTGATGTTTCAGTGGTTTATTGCCAGCTAAGGATAGCAAAGACAAAAAAAGAAAGGCTTCTTTGTGACTTTCAGTTGCTTTGTAAGCTGAATCCTTTCTGTTTCTGTTTCATACCATTTCTGAGCAAAGGGTGACTTGAACCTAACAAGGTCTTTCATAGAGATTTGTCCCACAGATTTCTACAGAAACGGTAAAATGAAAAAAGATATTCAAATAGTTTTGATTTATTTGTTGCCTGTCTCATTATTTTACAGTGTAACACTTCATCTTCCCTAGTTTGTGCTTCTTTCTATTGGTATCACCAGAGCCACAAACCTATTTTCTTAAGAATACCTGTGTGGTTTGAGAAATGTATGGACTCTGGATGTTTTGCTTATTTCAAATTCCCTTTTCCCTCTGCCTTCTTCCTGCTTCTGTGTCCGTTTTGAAGAAGCCTCCAATCTCAGTCTTTGGTTCTTTGACGCAAAGGACACTCAGTGACTAAGTTCCTCACTGTTCGAAATTCTCATAATTTTTTTTTTGTTGTTTGCGTCTTGCTGTGACTCTTTTGCCCCAAGGACATTTAACTTTGATCCGTTGTGGTGACTCTTTAATGGTGACTTAACCATTGTTATATTTTGCCCCTAGTCTTGTGCATTCCTTGTATCTAAATAAAGGATACTCTGCTCTAGGATTCACAGTTCAAAGAACAATAAAACATTTACAGAAAAAACTCAGTCTTCTTACCAATCATTTAATTGGAGGTACAACTGCAGCGGCACATTCTGTAAACAAAGAAATGACAGCAGGGACATGAATGACCGGGAAAAAGAAGTTTTGAAATCCAGATTTTCAGTGCCTCCTGGAATGCCTCACCACTACCACCCTGCACACAGGTTTTTGGAAAACTGTACCAGAAGAGAGAAGGTACACAACTAAACACCAAACGTATTCTACAGAGAATCAAAAGAGGCAGGGGGAGTCAAAGTGGCCAGATGAACAGGCTGTGAAATTTCTTCCTTACTGTGAATATACCTCCATGAACTGTTCTAACCCAGTAGCAGTATCACATTGCCATCCTCCTATTCTTGAGGATGAAGTACAGCAGCCAGATAAAGACAGTGATAGAAGAGGAAATACAAGTCACCATATCCTTCCAAAAACCTACTGGACGTAAAACAGAGCCCAAACAGAGGGGTGGGGAATCACTAGTGTCAAAGCAGGCATTCATTCTCCCTTCTCTTTACAGGAAAGGCTGCTGAGAAATCCTTCTTCTCCTATTTTTGCCTCTCATTTGCTGCAAGGTCTGGGAAAGGATGTCTGACTATTGTTAACAGATCCATCTGGCCACACAGTAGCATTACTACTGCTTTCAAAGCAACTTGGAGTTGTATTTCTCCACCAGCTACCATCATGACTGTAAGCATAGAAGAATGTGGCAGAACTGTTGTCAGAGGGTAAGATTCAACTCATCTAACTCTAGCCATGTAAAATTTAGGTATATAGACTAGCTAGCCACCTGGGCTTGATAAAGAGCAGTGGGGCACCCCAAAGTCTTCTAGGGGTATGAGTATTCCCCTTTAACTGTGTAAGAAGACCAGATGTTAGTCTGAAATGCACCTAAAACTGGCCAGGATGAATTCCCAGTTACTGATTTTATTGACAGAAAATTGATATTTCTCTGAGAAAACAAGCCTTTTTCACAGAAAACTTGTATTTGCACAAAATTCTCACTCAGACTTACCAGTTGGGTTTTTTTTTTTTTTAAATGTTATGGTATTAAATACTGAGGGTTACTCTATTCTCTCGAAAAGATTGTAGAAATGGTGAAGTACTTACATGTCTTACAGGGAGGGTTACTTTCACTTTATGTCCAACAGGGAGAAATTTCAGTGGTACTGTTAAGGTGTCACTTAAATTGCTATTGTCATCTTCCTTATCAGAAACTTTCTAAAGAGAACAAAAAACATCGGTTTTATTCACAGAATAGAAACAATCCAGTTCTTTACTCTTTTGATGACACTGGAAATAAGCAAGCAGTGTGAACAGTGGTATTGTATAGTGCCCATTACCTGCAGCCTGACTTTCAGAACCGGCTCCCAAGCCTTCACACAATGGAAGTAGAAAGTATCTGTGTCCTCTGTAGTTTTCTGTGTTCCCTCATGAGATGCAGACACCATAAGCACAAGATTTTTACCCTCTAGTGAAAACAGAATTGGTTAGAGAATAATACCACTGTTCAGTCAAACAGCTAAAAAGTTGGCAAACTTTCTGCTGGAGTCATTCTCTGGTAACTCCTCCGGAGGTGGTAACTCCTCCATAAGCTGCCACACCGGCAAGTCTCCTATAGCACAGGAACTGGTACTCCTGCCTTTACCCCATAGCTTGGAGTGCTCCCAGAGTCGGCACTCTCTCATACTTCCACAAGCAAAGTTTACTGTCTCCAAATTTGTTGGCTTCAAGGAAAAGACACAGAGATCAGCATTATTGTCTTTAGAACATTCTTAGTCATCTGGGTCTGAATAACTATGATAGGGTTGATTTGGTCACATCCTTGCTTCACAGAGAAATTGGCATACCTTGCAAATATTTCCTGCTTTCATTAATGTTCACTTGCACTTCCAAGCAGCAAACCTCACGGGACTGTAAAAGACAGGAGTGGAAAAGTGTGAAGACAGCAAATAATGAAACATCACACAGACAGCCACTAATATAGAGTCAACTACACCGGTCTCAGTGCTGAAAGCAATCCATCTGCACAAGAGTAAATTCAGAGCTCATTATCCCAGGACAGTAGCTCAGCTACATTGCTCCAAAACTAGCTTGTCCATACAGCGGTGCATTGTCAGAGGTTATACCCACTCAAGTTCCCAAAATCGGGAAACTCTGTACAACACACTGTTGCCCAAACAGCTACACATATATCTGATAGTTATTTAGGAAGGGTGGGGGAAAACACCTGATGATGAGTTTCTGTGTATTGTGGCAGTGATTAGTCTACAAGGCATCTTCTTGCTTGTCCTGAGGTAGGGAGATCATGGATTTATTCCACCCTACCCTCCACCTGAGTCATTCCAATTCGCCTTTAATAACTCATGCCAGGACAGTTTTCCAAGCCATTTCAGGAACAATGTGTGCCAATCATTACAGCTCTTATGCCTCACACAGAAAATGAGGGGGAAAGAACAGAATATGTGTTACTTTGTCTCCATGGTATTAAAGGCTAGCATCTGGAAATCATGCGCAAGCTTGGAGTAGTTGGCATGAAGTACTTTGTACTCCTTAGCTGCTGGGCCAGCCCAAGGAGATAGGTAATGTACCACATGCTGACTAATACCAAAAGAGGACTCTATGTTTCAACAACTAAAATAACTCTATATTAAAAAACTCATTTCCTAAAAAGCTGTTCTATTAGATAACCTTCCAGTCATAAGCACCCTGAACACTTACTGTTGCCTTCTACAGACTCATCCTTTTTATAACCTTTGTTTTTCCTTCCAAGTGCCATGCTGTATTACATGAAACACAAGCAGTTCTCACTTTGAACACCAACAAATACAGAGTTCCTCAATATTAACAAACCACAGCTGGGCAAAATATTGACATCTATAATAGCTGAAGACTTCAAGAAACACAGCTTCTATTTGTGCATGGAGAGGGCAACAGTTAAGCCGTAACAAATGTGAATTGTCCCACATCTTTCACTTTATAACACACACCATGCTCTTATCTATCATGGTAGCTTCTGTTCTCTCTATAAAATGTCAGAGGTCTAGAGGGAAGAGGAGAGAATCAAAATGAAGGAAAAGTCACTCCAAGCTAAATTCATATGTGAACCTTACCACTAGGACATCATTGGTAATGAGGTACTCTGGAGGGCCGGGACTGAAAAGACAGAATCAAAAAAACCAACAACAACGACAAAAGCTTTGTGAGTATCTGGTATTTTAAAAACATGATTGTTTTATGATCTTTCCTGCTTACATTTGAATATAGTTATGTTAGTCGCACTATTTGTTTTCTAAAAGGCGTAATACATGATCACCTCCTCAGCACATGAACCAAAATGCAGTAGCCAAACAAGAAGAAAGGCAGGAGAGCCCATAAAAATAGCAATGCTTAAAACTATATGCTGAGATACAGTAGAACAAAGACATTGGTCTATGTGGAGTCACATCCTGCTATTAACAAAGACTACTATTAATGTCTTCTGCAAATACTTATTAGGAAAAACATTTCTGACTGTTCCAGATTATAATTTACAGCTGATCACAAATGAATGGCAAATAAGAATTAGCTCCCACTGTGCTATATGCATGAGTGGAAAACACAAAGTAATAGAAAGTCTTTGCCCCAGACATTTTGCCTTGTAAGATCTAGGTCTGTCACTGAATGGATGTAGTTATTTAATACTATGAGTAACCTACAGAGTCTACTAACAGCAGCCCTTGTTAAGGCAAATACTCCAACATCACTATGTTACACCCATTCTTAAGTGCTTTCATATATCTGAAAGGACCATCAAAGTTATGCAGTATGTCATCTTTGACTTTCTGCAAAGAGCACTTCTGTTAAGTTTTACATGCATCTTGTGTACAAGTTACCACATCATGCCAATGTTAACTACATTTCCACGATCAGGATATGTATGTCGAACAGAAGGTAAGATTCATATGAAATACACTGAAAGGCAGAATTAGCTGGGGAAGTTAAGGTAACAAAAAGTTTGAAACTAATTTTGGCTTACTGCTGGGAGGAAGAGCTGGAAGACATTCCTCTTTCTCTGAGATATTATTACTCCTTGGCAGATCTATACCTTTCAGCTTTGGAATTTTACTCACATTCTTTCCAGCCAGAATTCCACTTCCAAACTTTCCCATTTCTTAGTGCACATCTCTTTCTAAAAAGAAAAGAGTAAAATAAATACGCATTATTGGAGGCTGCAAGAATTTGGCAGTATAGACACACCTAAAAAGCACTTCCATGGCTGACATCTCTTTGCTAATGTTACCAAATAAGCTGTGTGTTACCTCTTTCCAAAGACTGCAATGAAAACCACAGGCTTGCAAAAGTTATGTAAGATTAATATTCTCCCATTGTGGGATATGTAGAATTATACATATTTCCAAAGATACAATCAGAGAGGGAAAGCTTGACTGAAACAGAAATATAATGGCTTCCTGCAAAGATAGTGTGCATGGGGGAAAGGCATTGAAGCCCAGCAACAAATGTGGCTAATGGCAGTATAATTTCCACGTACAAACCATTTAAAACACATCCACACTGAATGAGCAGAGATGAAGTAGGCAAGAGTACTCTGGACTGAGGTGGTTACCGAATCATTCTATTTCCCAGTGACTCATCCACTGTCTGAGAAGTGCATGGCATCAGCCTGCAGAGTCACAAGGAAGATCCATATTAATAACTTTCAGCATTGGGGAAGCAGCTGCTCTTTTGAGTATGGACTGTCTCCTTCCTGCAACGAGCATGTAGCAATACCTCAGCCACAGCTCAGACAAGCTCAGGAGCTGTCACAGGCCTATCCCAGCTTTGTTCTCTGGACAACTCTTTCATGGGCTCCTTAACAGAATACCAAAGATGTTACCAGAATAGGCATCCCTTTACTATGGGCTAGAGAAATCTGAATCACCTAGAAGGAAACTCAGCATGAACACCAACAGCAGAAGCCTGAAATAATAATTTAATTCAGATCGTGAGTGGATTGTCTTCATGATTTTAATAAAAAGTTGCCATTTAAGAGGAAATGTCTTGTAAGCATGGCAAACGTGGAATAAAGCTGAAAGGTAAGGAATTTATTTATTTGGATTATAAAAGACAAAAATTACTATTTACAGATGCTCCTTGTTAACATATTTTGCCCCCCCAGAGATGGTGGGCATGAGAGAGAAGCTGCTTCATATTCTGAATCTGTGAAAAGAGATTAATGAAGTCACAAAAATTCAGCACACTGATGTTTGGATGAGATATTGATAATGATATATAAGGACATCTGTTTATGCAAAGCCAAACCCCACTTAACATGGAAGCCAATGTGGATAATGAGGTCTTGCCGATCTCTCCCTATATTTTCAGTCCTTACCTCTGATTTCAAAGCAAATGTCTCACGGAGCGTCTCCCCAGGTCTGACGCTAGCAACATTAAAAAGAACTGTGAACTGCATGTCATCTTTGGAGAGTGGATCTTCATCACACACTGCCAATTCTAAAATGTTCTGGTAGTAGAAGAAAATAAATAAGAACTCTTACTGAGCTGCTATTACACAGAAACAAAAAAAAATATTATAGACTTTTGCAGCTGCTTGACTAGCACGGTGGTAAGAATAAAGAAATGTGCTTTCCTTCAGGAGTTTGCTAATGTGGACACCATCATTAAACCCAGCCTTGGGAAACTTATGAAGTAGAAGACAACTATCTATAACAGAGAGCTCCCACTATCCTGAGACAGAAAATATGTCAGTGCTCTGCACCACACTGATAACCCACCCAAAGAACACACTTACTCAGTTTCTTCATCCCCAAAGTTCTCTTAACTACACAGCTTAGGGTAGGATTAAATTTGTTGTCTATACCACAGCAACTCCTTGACCCTTCCCTTCGATGGTCTTTTGAAATTAACCATCAAAAATAGCCCAGATGAAGCATACTATAGCAGTACTTATTTCTCTCAGGTGACAACAAAGGGAATCTAGAGTAGCTCAGATGTAGGCATTTATATCACCAATGTCTGTAACTAGCTGAGGGGAACAATATTGCATGTCTACTGTTTTGGGTTAACCAGTCAGTTGCAAATTCTGTTACACAAGCATTTTCTTATGCATAGTTGATAGACAAGGTGTCAGCTGAGGATTCCCAGCTGTTCAAAATGGTGAAATTTCTGTTTCTTTTACTACCTCAACTTCTCTCTGGATCCTAAAGTAGAAAGTCTCGTTCCAGACAGGGTTGTCAGAATTCTTGATAGTTTTGGTCTGAAGCTTTCCATTTGAAGCAGATGGCAGCCACAAGCGCACGTAGCAGTCTGATGCAGTCACTGCAGCAGAGAAAAATTTAAAACCTGATGCCAATATTATAGATTAAAAGTAGGGCAAGGCCATGATTCTGGGGACTGATAAATATCACTACTTTTTAAAAAAAATAAGTAAAGAGACCGTCGGTTGGAAGCAACCAAGCAAAACCATCTAATTCCTGGGTAACTACTAATTGCAAACGTATACACGCACACACAAAGTACACTAAGAGCCATTGTTTCCCATGTGAAGAGAAAGAGGTATAAAAGACCCCACTGACCATTCATTGGGCATATTCCTTACAATTCCAGACAATGATGTTAAAAAAGTTTAACTGAAACTAGAGCTAGTTCCAAAAAGGGCTGTTAGGATGATTACAGGAAAGAAGAACACATATTATGGAGAAGACCAGAGGAGACTGGCTTGCTCAGCCTAGCAACACAAACATGCAGAGGGAACATGACAGCTGTCTAGAAGGGTTAGGTACTATGAAGATCTGTTGCAGCTAAAGGCCAGTGTGGCCCCAAGAACACGAGGGCATGAGCAAGTCAGAAATCTTCATCTCACTTCCAGTCTATATCTACTCCTTATGGTTAGTGCAGTCAGTGCCTCGAGCAGCCGTCCTTGGGAAGAGCCGGGGTGGGAAAGCGCATTTACTTTGTGAAGCTTGACAACGGTGTGAAAGAAAATCTCCAAGGTGATGTCTTTCAGAGCTGGAGTCTGGACTTGACTGAAGATGTCTACTGCAGCCAGAGATGCCTAAATACTTCAGACTGGTATCAAGCAGTGAATAACATTGCCCCGCAAAGTTTTGGCAGGAAAGTGGAGCTGTCCCTTCAACAGAGTAGATAGAAGAGATCACTGAAACTCAAAAATACAGGCCTTGTCACACTACCACCTTTCTAGTGTCCACCTCTGGAGGCTGCTACATGGCATTTGCCACAGGAGTACGGGAAGCCCTTCAGCAGGCAGTTACTCAACCAACAGGGGATTCACTCCCTCTGGTCTCCCTCGCATCCGGGCTTGGCCAAGGTTGTGCTTGATCCTGCATGGCGAGACACAAATGGTCTCAGCTGTTACTGAAACAACTCACTGCAAAGTGATGCTTTTTTGGCTGAACATGTTGTTTTTCACTAGAGGAATACACAGTATGAGAAAAGACAGCTCAAGATCTCTGGCTTGACTGAGGAACCCATATGATACCTCTGAAAAAATGGCAGCTGAATGGCTGGGCCATAGTACACCTTGAGAAGGAGCCCTAGGAGTCTGTGAAGGTGAGATAATGGTTAAAGAAAGTTGAATTCAAAAGTACACAGTCTATTTTGCCTGCATGTTCAGCTGGACCTGCAGAAGCTCTCCTTAACCAGAAACTATCAATATAATTTAACATGACTGGTCATCTGAGAACAGCAAATACCCCAAATGTATTTTAGAAGGCTTGAAATTCTCTAATTTACCTATGATTATTGTGTGTAATTGATACATTTCAAGAAAAGGTCCCTAAATATGAGGTCTGTGTGGCAAAATTCCAGTCCATTATGTGATTTATACCAATAATGAACATCAAAACCAAACAACTCCAAACAGTTTTACAGAATGTAGTGTCCTCACAAGGGTCTACCTTCCCTTGTTGGCCCAGGAAATTCATCCGGGAGTCTTGGTTTTTACCAGTTCCCCAAAATGCCACTAGGTATGTCCTCCAATCTAACAATACCTCAGGCATTTGATTTAATTATAGCCCTCGCATTAGTACTGCTATTGCTGTGCTTTATGTACATTGCTTGTATACCTTCAGAACTTAGGAACATTGCTCACTGTGTAAACTCTGGAGGTGATTAAAAATGCAATCAAACCACAACTCACACAGGTCTCTTGACTTGATGTTCTTAGCTTGTATGATTCTTACAGAAAGCATGTGGATGGGGCAAACCTTCATCTGCAGAGAAAACAAATGCAATTAGTTTTATCAGCTCGGAATACAAAACCAATATGTGTTTTGAACAATACAGGGGACAGCCTGTCCTTCCTTTTGTCTGTTTGAAGTGAGAGGACCACCGTCCAGGGGAAGTACACCACACTAAGATGGTAGCACGATTGCACTCTGGGCTATTTGCTAAGCAGCTTGAGCAAGCGAGGACAGAGAAAGAAAACATGGACTCAGACAATGATATGGAAAGCTTTCGTAGCCACCCTGGAGGTGCCTATTTTGATACAACCTAACGCATGCATGGCCATGGTGATGGTTGTACTGCCAATCTGCCGAGGGTTCTGTGACACAGGTAGGTCAAAACCCGGCCTTTGGAAGGCAATACTAGGAACTTGCAGCTGCCTGCCTGGGTCCTGGCACAGCACTGACAGTAGGCCAGGATGTGGCAGTTACCAAAGTGCTCTAAAAACTTCCAACTTTGTATCCCAACTAGGATTAAATATTCGTGATGCTCGTAAGTAGGCCAAGCTCACTGAACAGCATCTAGAGGGATGCACTGCTGACTTTGAGTGAATGGAACACAGGCCCAGCAGAGACCTTTCAGATGAAGAAAACAGTGCCCTGCTTTGGAGACATAATATCACAGAATCCCACATCATTAGGTATCTTGAAAATATCTAATGGGAATGGAACCACTTCCCTTCCAGACTTGAGATTTATTTCTATCAAAGGAAAGCTATCATTGTGCCACTTGTTTCAAATTATTTGTTTCTAACTCTAACAAAGAATTAGGCTTCCCAACCTAAGCTTGTCAGAAAATATCTGCCATTTTCAAAAGATGTTCTGATAAGCCTGAATGAACACACATACACAGACACGTGACAATCTTAATACTAAAATATTTCCTCCTTTTTTCAAATTGGAACATTTAAATTTCTCCTTAACTTCCTGTTGAGTATTTTATTTTTTTGTTTGCGTATTAGCACAGCTTGTCAGTAAGAATAAGCAATAATAACATACAGTCCTGCTACCACTAATAAATTAAAACAGGGCCACACCATGTTTGAAGCATTAGTTTGAATGGCAGCTTGAACTACACACTGACTGAAACATTGTATGTATCAAAATAATTTGATGATTTTATTTTGAAAGTTAGCGCCATGATTAGTTTTCCTGACACTAAAATTATTAACTTTGGAGATACAAAGAGGTGGGCAAGGAGGAACATCTCTATAGAAGGAGTAACTCACTACAGTTAATCTGAAATTCTTTTAAAATGGGGTGGAGGCTATTGGACACATTTATTAGAGATGAGAATAGCCTTCATTCTGTTTCATTCAGTTTCGTTTAGAGGTAAATTATATTACATCAAACGGATACCATTTGAACTGTGAATTATCATGTTCAAATAAAGGCTTAATATTAAATTTTATGATGTCACTTTTAAAGTTACATCCTTTTTAAATTCAGATTAATATTTAAGAGTCGCCCTGAGCAGAGAAACCTTGTTGTTAAACCTACAAAATCACTAGTCACTCTTTCTCTTGGCCTCTTAATGGTTGATTGAAACACTTTTTGTATAAAAATGCAAGACACATTTGTTCTTGTGTGACAAGAACAATTTCTATTATGTTTTCCTCAATTTGAAACTGACCTATGTAAAACATTATGAGTTTAATGCATTATGGACATTACAAGTTCCAGTTGGGACACTTCCATGTTATTCCAGTTGCCCACTGAAAGAATTTTACTTTAATTTTCCTGTGCAAATAGTTATTTAACATAGAAGTACCAACTGGAACACTCAGCCAGCATTCCTAGTGGGTTACATTAACATGAAATATTGGAGTATGTAGCAAATTACAGAGCTGACTCTTTTTAATTAATATGTTAATTCTGTGTTCTTTTGTAATCAGCTTCCCTCTTGCTCAACAGAAGCCTAAACCATTCTGAGAGTCTGCCTTCCCTGGAGAAAGGGATGTTGATATACAATTTGCTTTGAATCTTTTGTGATTAAAATTTCCTAATGGCTTATAAAAATGGTACATCTGCCATTCATCATCAGAGTACTCTCAGTTGTGATAGGTGTCACGTTTTCATCCTCTCCCACTGGAACCAGAGAGCCTCACTCCTCCTCCCTTCCCCTTTCAACAGCAATCACCTCCCCTAAACATGTCAACATCTTCCTGCCAATGGAAACAAAATCAAAGATGACTGTTCACTACTTCTGATTTGGTGCAGCTTAGTCCTGGTGTTGTTGCGGGGTGAAAGAGAAACAGGTTCTGATGGATAAACCATGGTCATAACAAACCCTATGGGCTGTGCAAACCCCCAGGGGAAGCCTGAGCCATTCCACTTCCAAGACTGCACTTACTCCAGCCTGTGATAACCATTCAAAATTGGGCTAATTTTTTTTTCATCAGAAAAAGGCGGAGCTAATTTCTTTTACGATGGTCCAGAGCAGATTATTAGGGTCTGATTTGGGTGGTCTAAAACAACATCCTTGCCCAAAAGTGCTGGAACTCCAGAATACCCTTCTAGAAAACATAATTATGGTTAGAGATGCTATTTGCTGTTTTCAAAACATGAAAAACAATGTGTAATTTCATGATTAATGCAAATTGATAAGCACAAACATCATATCCAGACAGCTCTTGACAGTTTTGCAGCTGTACTGGTCTTGGGCTTTTTAGTTCACTTCCTTGGGAGAAACATAGTTCCTGCATAGGTGCACAGAGAGTAACAAAACCGCTCTGTAAATATCCAGAGTCAAAGGTAGCTTTCCCAGAAGTGCATCATTCTATGACTGCTGGAAAATTAGTAGTGCCACATTGAGGCCAATTACAGAGTGCAGGCTTCAGCTACCTGTGTATGTTTGCATCCTAGACAATAACACTCTGGACCAATAAACAGTAGCATGTCCAGAGTTCCAAAGAGTAGGCTAAAAAATGTGAAAAAAATAAAACCCCACTTCTTTTCACTTGATAGCATTTAGCACTAAACTACATTTCTGTGGCCTCAAAGCAAGTTTTGGGGGAGCCATTTCAGGTCTAAAATACAGAAAAGTCAATAAACAGATAAAGAGATAAAACTAGCAGGGCAGAATTGGCACAGCTGTGTCAAACCTTAACAAACTGAAAATTTACATCTGTTGCCAACATCTCATTGGTTGTAATAATACACATCTGCTGGCCTACTGTCTAGCTTCCAGACAATAGTCATATGCCAGCCAGCTTCAGGAGGACACATAATTCTCCTGTTTACAGGCAGTTAGTCGCTCCAAGGTTTCATCGAAAAAGACAATTTTGAGAGTATGAAATCTTCTCAAAAATGAAAGCTTCTCAAAAATAAAGAGGAGCCTACGGGGTTTTTTGGATTGCAGCGAAAGAAGAAGAAACCTACCAAGAGCTCATATCTTTGATTTCATCCCTTATTGCCCCTCCATGCTGCTCCTAAAATAAGATCTTATGGCTACCTTGACTAGAAAGTTAGTCTTCTAGTAAGGGGTAGTTTCTGCAGAGCCTGGCAATTTGGGAACGTCCTCCCATCACCACATCTTTTTTCTTTCTTTTTTTTTTTTAAAAAGAAAAAGTCCTTAGTTTGTATACATTGGAAGGCTGATTTGAATCTCAGCGTTTCGCTCCCCCTGCACCAAACCTAAGTAGTTCTGAGCTAAGTTATCACCATGGGATAACACCAAGGTATATGAAGTTTTATATGAGGAGTTTGCTCTCTGTCTTTTGACATTCTGTAAACAGCTGTAGGATTTATCACTCAGCTTTATCAATATATTTCAGACATGAATAATTACTTCCTTTCATGGGTTACGTTTTCTTTCTCCAGTGGTGTAGTAGAAGCTGTACAACATCTTATGTACATGATCTAACACCAAATGGAATCATTTGGCATATCCTTACCGTTTAATTTATCTTGGATACTGAGGATTTGGTTCAGCTACAACTTGGCAATTTCTCAAATAAGGTCAAAGCTATAAACATATAAACTATAAAAAAGTTTCATGACCAATCTGGTCCCAAAGTGCTCTCTTCCACATAGATTCTTTAGTATCAAATATGGGCTGAGTTTATTAGCCCCTCCATCAGTGAGAATACTACTAGCAATTTGTCCTTCCAACCAGCTGCCTTTTTTCATTAAAATTAGAGGAATGCAAAGTTCTGCAAGGGAAAGTGACTGACTGAAGAAACATGCAAAACCAGGAGAGGGGATAGAAGGAGAGAGCATGACCATGAAAGCCTCATTTTCTTAGGGAATCAAAATTAACTAAAATCTTATCATTGGAAGTTGAACAGTTAGTGAGTAAATCTAATTTGCCTTACAAACATTTCTGTAATTTCACAATGGATTTGGGGTGCATCCCCTGTTCATAGTCTATCAGTCACCTCTTTACATGTACAAGTGGGTCCCTCGGGACTTTGAATTGACAGAATCTTACCACATAAAAATGATTCCATAGTTCACAAAATAAAACTGCTAAAGAGTGATCACTCCTGTCTGAGCAGAAGAAAAGACCCTGTTAGGAATATCAAAAGCATTCCCATAAATTTGTAAATTAATATTGTCGATCACTTCTGTGCCAATTTGATAGCTTTTTTAAACAGCAAAAAATTAACGGGGAGACTTTTAGTAGGTCTTCCTAGATAGTTCAAAGTAGCCACGCTTTTCTAAACAACTTGGGTTTTTAATATAAAAGAAAAAAGAACACAAACCCACTCAGTCCTAATTTCTGTATTCATTTACCCATTTACACATACGGAAAAATGCATACACCTGACAGAATGGCAGAGCTACCTGCAGTATTGAATGAATCCCCTTCCTTGGGAACAGAAGCTTTCTGACCTGAAGCTATGCTTGTACTCTAACCTTTTGGCAGTGTTGCCTATTAACCAGGAGTATGTCTACACTCGTGGAATAGCAGATGTAGCATTAGAATGAAATGGAAGAACTTTCTCTGTAATTGAGACTTTCTAGATAAAATTATACCTAAGCTA